CCCAGAGGACGAGTCTTGAACGCGAAGCTATGCGTTCAAGAGGAGGGAATGTGTTGGCGCCTACATGTGGACCTGCACTAAATTTATTTTATACGACATTTCGTCTATATAAGCTTCGATATTGTACATAAATTTGTAATCCTTTTTTATCTGTGTACATACGTCACTTCGTTTATATTTCAAATTTGAATATCATTCCGCTACGATTTCTTGTCTTAGTAACATTTGTACCTTCAGATAAAAGTATTTAGTAAAACCAAAGAAGTTTACTTTAACCTGTCTAAATACCGAACACATGGTGTTGTCCAAAGAGACATCTAACGAATTACTACAGTATTTCATGTACACGGGTGTGTCGTATTTTCTACAAACAATATAATATATTAAATTTTCTGTATGGCCAAGAGATGGCAGCACAGGTGGAAATAAAGAAAATACACTTTTCACATTGAACCTCTTGTAGTCTCTTAGTATATAATTTCCTAACTAGATGACACGGTTGAATAAGTTAAAATGTTACTTATATTTTTTTTTATTTATGCTTTGAAAATATGCAGTAAAATCTGTTATTACATTAAAACTGCTCGAACTGTCATAAATAGGTATATTTAAAATGATTATTTTTTCAATTTGTTAATCTTTATATGTATGTCCATAACTAAGACGGAGACCTAAATTAAATCTGTTGTTACATAAATTGAAGTGTATTTAGAGTTCAGAAAGTCTGTTTAATCATTTGAGATCTTAGTTTATTTACCTTAATTATCAGTTGGTCTCATATTCATTGTTCGCAAGTAATGTATGAAACATTTATATGAATACTTTTAATTAATTACAAGCGAACATTTAATTTGGTCGCTAAAGGAACGTCTGATTACAAATTGTTTTCCGTTTTGGAATTTGAGCAGCGTGAGTCGAATAAAGTATTTTTTTTTAAACTTCAGATTAAGAAAACCTAGACAAGTCCTTTTTTCTTCTAATAAAATTTACATAAGTAGCATATACATATAATTTACAAACTCAAAAAAAGGTTTAATATTTTTCCAAATACGAATTTATAGCAATAATTCTAAAAAAGGGACTCAATTTTTTGATATTTGATTTACATTTAAAATGAAAAATAATTTAGATATGTTTAAAACACCTGATTCTAACAAAATGATTAAAGGTTGGGTAATCGATATGAATAAATGACATTCAATATAAAAGGAGATTGAAAAAGACCCAAAAGATTGTCCTATAAATTTTGTTCACAACTACACGTTAGATAAGTAGGGTTTATTTCCGAAGATTTCGGTGAAGTTTGTCCCAAGTTATGTTCTATGTTGAAAAAGGAAGTTTACGTTATGATGTATTACAAAGGAATCAAATGTATCGATAATTTTATTTAATTAAATAAGTTTATCATGGTATTTACTTTTTGTTATATCGTGTCAATGGTTAGTATGAAATGTTTAATTATCACATAATTTTGTAAACTTATTTAGATAAAACAAATAAAGACAAACATTTATAAAAAATATTGTTCAAATATATTATATAAAAATGGATGCACAACATATATGCTTTAATAAAAATTACCGCTTGTACTATAAGTTTCTTCGTGTCTTTTCTTCGATAAAACACTTTTAAAAGCCACCATTGATAGAGTTTCCAGATAAGTTGCCTTCTTTCACCAAAATATGTAGAGACAAGATATTGAAAGGTTTTTGTTGAAACAACGTCTGAGCGTGATAACGGTTGCTGTAAAGTAACCGAAACGTTGGGAGTATGTATGTAGTTTTTTACAAAAATTAAGTCGCGTAGTATATCCGCAAAATATTAGTTTCAACATCTTTATTTATTTAACTTAATTAATTATTTAGGTAGCTGTTACTAGTATCATTCTACTAGATTTTTGTTTTTAAAAATGTCTTTCAGTATTATATAAACGTTATATGAACATTTATTGACGTAATATATTCTCTTATTATCTTTTCATTCTCTTCTCATCTTTTGTAAGTGACATTAAATATTATGAAAAAGGTATTTATGTCTTACAGGGATATTTGTAAAATTAGGCTAAATAACTAACTTTTCTATTTTGAGACCTACTACTAAAAAAGTTCCAATTTTATTCAAACTGTAACAATATTTATAAATATTCTCACCATTACTTAGAACGGATAGTAGACCGTAGGTAAGTAATGTATAGAATTATGTAATTTAGCCACCTCTTATCAAGATGAAGGTCTCTAAATTTAATATAAAATGTAAGATAACAAGAGGCCACAATAGAAATAGTACCAAATACCAATGCAGTATATTTTTGCTGCAGTTTTTATGAATTTACTATTAGTGAATTTTCCATTAAAACCAAAAAATAAACGTGTCGTCATTATTAAACTAAAGGGCCAATTTGATTGTTTTTTATGAACAATATTCATGGTAACGCTTTACACAATGTCAACTTATTGGCTTTATTTTATCTTCTGTTTAATATAGGTAATAGGTATGTAACAAAAAAGGTGAAATCACGTTTCATACTTGATTGAAAATAGAATGTCTGTAATTCATTATTAATGAAAGTACTTAAATTAATGATAAGATTGATTAGGACAGAATTAAGAATTGGTGAGTTATCAGTTCTCACCTATTGAACTTTATAGAAATTCGTATTAATTATTACAAATTGTAATTCTTAACCTGTTTGCTCAGAATGTTCTCATTAAAGTAGGATTTACGTGCTTTAAATAATTATGGATATTTGAAATGGTCTCTATTAGTTGCTATTTTTAGTTTGATACATTTTATTGACGTCTGGAATCCTGTTAAGGTCAATTCTCATTTTAATTACCTTGTTCTTTGAAGCAGTTCATAATAACTACTATCTAATCTTTTAAATTCAATAAGACTTTCAAATCTATTCAATTAGACAAGGGAACATGCCATAGCCAGAAAAAAATACTAATAAGGCTATCGTCAATCCTGTCCTGCCCCTGAAGGTTCTCTCATCTCATATCATGTCCCATCTCGTCCGCCCGTAATCACGGTTACTGCAAAGTAATCGAAATTTCGGTAGTATCTAGTTTTAAAAATAATAAAATATGTACACAAAGTAATACGAAAAAAATATTAATTTTAATTAAATAAATTCTCACGAAAGTCTTTGATGTTTTTTCATCTTCGGACGTTTGATAAGAGACTTTCGTAACATATTGTATAAGAACATAGAGACAAGCCTTCTCTAACGCCCTTTCTAAGGACTTAGTGTTTTGGTTAAAATCTCATTACCTCTGTCAGAAAACGTGTTAAATTATTTCTTTGCCTGAAGAATCATGCCAGTTATGGCGATCCTCCATCAAAAGGGATCTCAAGTATAAAATTAAACCTAGCGCCATGGATAAGATGCAAAAAATGTCACATCTCATCCCAATCTACTTACTTCTACAGTCATATACCTATACCTTTCACCGTGAAGTGTGAGATCTTCATCAGCCATCCTCCATTGGTCGAAAAATATGTTGACACAGACTTAACCAGATAGTAGTCACAGATATACCGAACGTACATAAGACTTTGACGATGCATATGTTGTCTGCAGATGGTCCAGGCCTTGGCTGTTTGGTCATCCATACTTGGTACCTTTGTAATTTCCATTACCATCTGGATTTGTGTTAGTTTATATGGAAATAGCCAGTGTTAAGGGTGGACATTCAAGACTCTTACATGGAGCAGGCGTGCTGAAGAATACCGAACTTAAATTAGAACAGCAACTTCACTGAGATTTTTGAGTAACTAAGTCGTCATCTGGTCCCCACTATCCGCATTTGACAATCAATCAATCAATCATCAAGCTTTGACAATTTTGGGAACTTCAAAAGATAGAAAAACTCTACTAGACTAGATAGAAAAATAAAAACCCAAGTAGCGGTCAGTGGCAAATATTTATGCTTATACTTATTATAAAGTAATCATATTTGAGGTGGTAGAGCCTAGCTGTGGTCAGTTACTACAGCTCTAACATGGGCTGGCTCGACCGGGGAAGTACCACCCTCTCACAGAAGATCGGCGTGAAGTAGCCTTTAATGGCTGCGTTTCGTCCGATGAGTCAGAGAGTTGGTTGCCCTTTCCTTGTCATCAGCCTATAAGAAGCCCACTGCTGAGCAAGGCCTCTTTCTCACATGGAGAAGGTTTGAGCATTAATCACCACGCTTGCTTAAGACGGGTTGGTGATTTCAAACTTATAATTATGAAACTATAAGTCCAGGTTTCCTCACGATGTTTCCTTCACCGTATGTCAGTGATGTTTAAATACTCTCAGAAAGTACACATCACAATGGTACCGAAAAATCACATTGGTACTTGCCAGACGTTTGAACCCGCTCCCTCGGAAACGAGAGGCGGGCCCCTTAACCACTAGGCCACCACTGACTTTCCCTATTCCCACCCTTTCCTATCATTTCCTTATTCCCACTCCTCCCTATCCCTAAAAAAAACAAGGTTGGCAACGCATCCGTCCATGTCCATGGGCGACGGTAACCACCGTCCATCAAGTGGGCCGTCGGCTCGTTTGCCACCTTTAACATTTAAAAAAATATATATTCAATAAGTCTCAATTTTTTATTTTATTTTTTTTATTGGTTTTTATTAGACCCAGTTTCAGAGTATATATATAACCTTCTCAATTGAGTTATAATTCCATAAGATATTAATATTTTCCTTACTTCACGCTGTACAGATGATAAAAGGGAATGTGAGTATAATATTTACAGGTATAATATCAGACAGTCTGAAATTAAATAATAGGCTATAATCTTATAGTAAGTAAGTATTTTATTTGTTTTTAAAAACATTTAAATTCATTCAATAACATAAATTAAAAGTATTTTTGTCGGCACAGCAATAAATAAATTTTCAGCTACAATGCTTTTTTCTTTAAAACAAATAGGAGCACTCCAAGTTAAGTAGTTATGCTTAAAATTTTATGTTTCTTTTGTGAGTTTTTTTCATAATTTCTCTTAGTATAATTGTTTTAATTGTATAAGTACGATAGTATAAGTGGTGCACACAGTAAATAAAGTAAGCGGCAGTGTGATGTCAACGTTGAAGAGACGCCAGATGGAAAACACAAATGGATTAAATCTGAGGAACGTCAGAGCATCTAAAATTTTATTACGTGAAAATTCACCTGTAAATATAAAAATATGTTTAATATTTATTTCAATTTCGTATTCATTAAAGAATTATTGAATGTTTTTCAGAAATTTTACCGGAACAAACAAGAAGTTGTTTCTTCACATGTTTTTCTATTTCTGTAATCTCATATCTTATCAATTCTGCAAATAACGTTGGTGCCAAGGGCAGGATAATATTTGGTATAGTTTCAATCAAAAATGGACTGTAATTCTGAAAAAAAATGTTAATAATACTAAATAATAATTTTAATGATGTTTGGCAATTAATTTTAAATAAGACATAGTTTTTGTAACAGTTATTATGATAAAAAGAGTTCCGGATAGGTAAAGAAATATCTATTGAATTTATATTTTAGGTTGAGTTTATTTGTGTAGACATACCCTTATGCTGAAAAAATCTATCAAAAAGTAATAAATTTGAAACAAATAAAACGGCAAGATGGCGATTATCTGGGGAAAGAGAAATTATTTTTTTAGTATTAAGTTTACAATTCTTTTTTTCTTATTAATGTGTATAAATGCGAAAAGAATGACATGATTAAAAATGTGAGTCACGATATTATAGGGTTATTTATACATATAAAAATACTATTCACTATAAATTTCGATGCCGCTCCTATAAATCTGGTATTTTCCAATAATTCACTGTATATGAATAGATATTCTTGAACTTTTAAAATTTCCAATTTATTTTTCTCTTCTCTTTTATGCAAGCTAAAATCTATATTCTTCACCATTGTCTGTCTCAGTGTTCGCATACGATTCCATAACAATTCAAACATTATAGCTCGATTAAAAAATGACAAGTTTGTAGCGAAAACCAATAGCGAACCAATTAATAATTCATCTATATTAAAGTAACCAAACTCTAATAACAAAATTACAAATCTAACAGTTTGAGCTATTACTACTCCAACAAATAAATAAAAATAAATAAAAGACACAAATTTCTTCATGTTCCCATCTACTAATAAGACGGATCCAATTTTATTCAAACTGGAGTAATATTTTGAAATATTTTCGCCATCACTGGTTAGTGATACGACACCGTTAGTAGTATATAGAATTAAATTAATCAAAATAATTTTGTTGTAATGATTGTGTGTATATTTAAGGTAAAATAAATTAATATTGTAAATCACAAATAAAATAGCACAAATGCAGTAAAATTTTGCTGCAATTATAATAAACTTATTATCACTGAATTTTGAGTAAAAACCAAAAAACAATCTAATTTTCATTATTATATTAATAGGCAAATTTAATTGAGTTTTTGGTATAATATTCATGATAATATTTTACACGATGTCGTCTTATCACGTTTCTCTTACTTTGTGTTTTGTAAATGTTAGGAGCAATATGTAAATAGACTTTTCTCTTTAATTAGAAAATATAATGTTATATTCCATTACTTTAGCTAATGTATAAAAAATTTAATCTATTTTCCTAAATTAGTTCAGAGCTGATATTTTAATGTAGATAACTGTAAAAAACATTAAATTATAGTCTATTTTAGTACTAATCGGATACAAAAATCTCCTACGGCTATGGCTTTTAAAAACGGCTGGTCTGTATTCAAAATGCCCGACTATATTGGACAAATTGATTAAAAAAGCATTTTCTCGGCTATTATGAATAATTCCCACCCTATCTTTGGCAATTAGTGAAATTGGTGAACTGTAGTATTTTTGTTTATTAAATGAAATTAGACCTACAAAATTTATATGACAAGTAAAAAAAAAAATCAAATGTACTTAGTAGTTAAAAAATAAACAATTAAAATATAGTTAAAACATTACTTGTCTACCTCTATTTTGATAAAAATACTACTTTTCTTCTTCTTCTACCTGACAATTTCCCAGCTTTAGCCAAGGTCTGCCTTACATGTTGTGAATAGTTTTGGCTATTTTTTTTTACGACTGACCGCCTGCCTGACATCAACCTTCTTTAGGAACCCTCTTTTAATCAGTGATGTCTAAATACTCTTAGAAAGTACATATGATTCGGAAAAATCACATTGGTACTTGCCAGGATCGAACCCGCGCCCTCGGCAACGAGACGGGAGCCCTTTAACCACTAGGCCACCACTGACTTAAAATACTGCTACTTTATACATATAACTATGTATAAAAAATAGGTAAAAACCTGTTTTGTGGCCCAAATTAGTTTAAAATCGCCCAATTAGTTAAAAACAATATAACAAGTGCTCTTGAAACATCTGTGTAGATATATATCATCAGCCTATCAGAAGCCCACTGCTGAGCAATGGCCTCTTTCTCACATGGAGAAGGTTTGAACATTAATTAATCACCACGCTTGCTCAAGACGGGTTGGTGATTTCAAACTTATAATTGTGAAGTTATAAGTCCAGGTTTCCTCACGATGATTTCATTCACCGTATGTCAGTGATGCCTAAATACTCTCAGAAAATACATATGACTCCGAAAAATCACATTGGTATTGTCAGGTTTGAACCCGCGCCCTCGAGAAGCGGGCCCCTTAACCACTACGCCACCACTGACTGTAGATTTTAATTGTATTTTTTAATACATCTTTAATGAAGATGTAGAGTCACTGAGTTCCGAATAAGGAAAGTAGGTTTTTTTTATGAGAAAGGTGGCAATCGAACAGACGGCTTACTCGATTGGAAGTAATCACCTCCGCTCATGGACATCTGCAACTTAGAGATGTTGCGTATGCATTACAGACCTCCATTGTAGAGGATGGAAGAATAGGTAGGAATAGGGAGAGGTCATAAAAGTGTGGGAACAGGAAAGGGTAATCGGCTCTCTTAGTCATCGTACGATACGCAACCAGTGAAGACTAGTTCACTCCGATCTTCTGTGAGAGGGAGGTACTTCCCAGGTCGTGTCAGTCCATGTCCGAGATGTAGTATCTAGCTGTCAGCACATCTAGGCTCAACCACCTTTGTCTTGCGCTGAAGTCTCTTACCTTCACTACTTTACTTCTTTACTTCAGATAATTATGAGTAACAGATTATAGTGAGTAAATACAAGCTTGTGTGTGATGGAGGATTCTAGTCTGGAATTAAAACTTGTCTTAAGAGGCTTCAAAATGTCCAAAAAAGCTGTGTGAATTTTTATTCATGACGCAACATTTTATATTTTTTTATGAAAATAATAAAATTAAATATAAACCTTGTATATTTTTTATAATAATTTTCATTAAGATGTTTTAAAATAGTATGTAATGTTAAAATACACGACGATATAAATGGTTTTAATAAGTAAGTTTTGATCCTTGTACTCGTAAGAGTTAAATTCTCTGAATCTATAGAGATCAATAATAATCGCTGCAACTGAAAACAAGTAAAAAATGTAGCATAAAGTCTTTCTTTGTCATAATTCAAATCTTCCAGAAAGCTCATTAACTTAAGAGTACATTTTTTATCAACAACGATCAATAAAACTATGATATTAAATGACAAACTCTTATCTTTTTAGGTTAAAACAAATATCTGAATCAAACAATGTAGGAGTTACCTATATTTAGAGTTATCATTAACTTCAACTTATAATAGGCACTTATTTAAATTGTTAATAACAGAAATGTAACCTTTAAAGGTGAGTAGAGGAGAAGGTGGGAATATGGCCCCCTAATTTGTTTTTCAAGTATAAAATAATTATTAATTGGTACATATTGTTACAATCTGTTTATGTCAAAACATACATCGTCTAAGGGGTTAATAGGATTTATGTTACAAATTAAAAAAAAGATAACATTGATCATATTTTTTTATATTTTCGGAAAAATGTAAAAAACGGTGACAAACAAAACGTGCGGTAATTATGGCCCCCCGGGGGCCATATTAAATGTATGAACTAGATCTTACAAAAATTTAGCGGCAAAAGTCACAAATATAGTAATTGCTCTCTGCTCCAGCACATTCATTATGAGCCCACAGTTCACAACTTTGGCACATCACCCAAATTTCAGGTTTTCTATATGAGATGGTAGTACACACTTTCTGCCCAATGGTTTGTGTACAACTGAATCCAATGATTCTCCTGTACATTTGGCCAGCCTCCTTAACGTTGATCTAGGTACAGCAAACGTCTTGGCAGCCTTCTTATACCCCATATTCTTATTTTGTACTGCTTCAATTGCCTTTTTCATTTTTTCTGCATCCTCTTGCTCTTAGGCTTTGGAGAAATATTCGTTAGAGGCATCTGAAGTATAATAAAAACACATTTAGGGCATTAAATTCACATAATAAAAAAGTCTACTCTAATATATTTAGTATAGCCCCCGGGGCTACAAAAGAAGCAATAATAGGGGGCCATATTAAGAAGAAGGCGCTTGATACGAAAATAAACCACAAATATAGAAATATCACAAATATAATGACAATACCTCGGAAATATTGAAGACGGGTTGCTATCCTTCCCAGTAATCACAAAACACTGTCTAAACAAACAAATTAATAATTTTGTAGCGGGACGAAAAACTTCTGAAGTAATGTACCGACAAACTTCGTTGACAAATGTCAAATTACAAGCACAGTAGCGCTCTCGGCCGACTTAAAAGTTTCCGTAGAATGTATTCGTCGTGATACGTGCATTAATTCATACATGGCGCTTTCCAATACTGAGATACAAACGGGGGGCCATATAACCAGCGGAGGCCATATTCCCACCTTCTCCCCCTACTGACTAAATTTATGAACAAATATATATATTTGTTTGCTGTAGATAGCATTTTTCATTTCTAATTAAGGCTAAAATATTGTTCAAAAGCTATGCCTAACATTTATAGAATACACAGTGAAAAAAACAACCAGTTCACAACTCTTAAAGAGTTAGTATGAACATTTTACATGAAAATCAATCTTAATTGCATATTAGATACATAATAGGAGGAGCATCAAAATTTCTTGTGAACACTGTATTACTATGTTTTGTTGGTGGGATGTTACTTGTGATTTTGCAGCCATTCATTTTACCAATTAGAGGACCTTACTAAGGCCTCCCGCCTTTTTTACTGTTATGCTGTTGAAAACTTTATAGTTTTGGTGTTCTGTCTTAGCTTTTGTTAAAATTTTTACAATATTTATTTATTCTTTGCACACTCGTTATTTAAATGCTGCACCTAGTACTGCTGCACTAGTACCGTTGACCTCTCCTTAGCGGTATTGCTCTGTCCCCGAGGCATTAAAGTAACTGACTTCTTTTTAGTATTTTTTATATACATATATTCAAACAAAAACATCCATGTAATCGTAAATCCGTAAAGATTTTTCTCTACACCTAAGTGTATATAATGTCTCTTTTCTTACATCTCATCTTAAAAACCAGGGGTTATTTTAAATCTATATTCAAACAAACAACCAAACAACATCTATCACCACCAAATCAGCTATCTTAACTAAGGACATATTATAAAATAAAAAAGTAACACAAAAGTCTATTAAAAAAGGGAGAATTAATAAATAAGTAGGTAAGTATAATATTTATCAAAAAAAAATTAATTAATTAACTGATTCTTTTTAACGACATCATGTTTAAATTTATATTTTTGTGTTTTTTTTTACTTCCAAATTGCAATATTTTGGGTTTAAGTATACTTTAAGAGAAATTTTAATGATAATTGTCTTGATCATTTCTCATTTCATTTCGGTTATGGACCCAACACGCTTCCACTGCGATACTCTGCTGAAAGTTGAAACAATTAGATTCAGAATCTTAGCCTAAATCATCAGTTATTCCTATCGTTGTTCATTGTGAAAATTAAAGTTTCATTTGCATTTCAGGAAATGAAAGTTATCAACAACAGTAATCACATAAATGTCCTATCACTTTATCAGAGATAGGATTGCTGTCAAACATGTCCTAGTAAAATACCAAAGAAGTCAAGACATGATTGTGGGCATTTTCACCAAAGAATTACATAAATCAAAACATGAAGCTTTCAGTAGAGCGATGGGTTTGCGTTCAGGAGAGAATGGAGAAACGCAGACAAGCGCAGCGCCTAGCATAGTTTAATAGCAACGTGTACAAACGTATACTTGCTAGTTTATTTGTGTTAGGTACTCACTTCTACATTATACAGGGTGACTGGTGAATTACTATTGATATTTGAGGACGTGATATTTGACGATCATATATGACAAAATAAAAATTAATATAACATAAATATTAATAAACTTCTAAGTAAAGTTAACCAAAAGTTATGTAATTAATTACGCATCGTATGAACACCCTACAGATTAGGTATACACACACACACACACACTCGCGCGCGGCGGCGTGTTGTTGAATCAGCACGCCGCCGCACGCGTCCACACTTGGAACACTTGGAACGTGTACACACTTTATTTATTTATACGGAAATTTGGTCAAAAATTAAGTACCTATTTTTTTTACATAATTTGAATGAGAATCATGTACCGAGTATGCTCCTTAAATATTGATAGTAATTCACCAGTCACCCTGTACCTATAGTTTGGAACTCGAAAAAAAAAATAGGTTTTATCCTGAAAATTCTGCGGGAACTCGACCATTCCGAAAATCCCGCAAGAACGGGAACTATGTGGGAAAAACCAAAAATCTGCCGGAAGTCAATATTCCACGCGGACGAAGTCGCGCGCAAAAGCTAGTGTATAAATATAAATTATGTATACTTATTCGAAAAATATTAACAAACCTTACTCATTCTCAAATTACCTTTAGAACCAAAACCCATTCTTACCACACAAGGAACAGATATAAACTAGAAAAACCTAAAACTCGAACCAAGTACGGCATTAAAACTATTTCATTTGAAGGAGCACAGCTGTATAACTCTTTGCCTCTAAGTTTTGTCAATTCAAAATCTCTAAATATATTTAAAAAACGATTAAGAACCCATATGTTAGATGATTTCACTGATCTTGTTTAATATCACTACTGTTTAGGTATTATTTCTAATCTTAATTGTAGTTAAGTATAATTTTTAAAATTTCCTTTGTAACCGAACTTTGTTCTTTTTGGAAATAAACTTCTTTATACCTAAACCTAAGGTTAAACAACCAATCATAGTAAATTACTTCAAAATAAAATTATAATAAAATTTAAGACACAAACAGAATTATTAAATTCAGAGTGATAAGCGCGGGGTGCTTGACATATTAGAGATTATACAATCATTCTATTGGCAACTATCTATGAGTGGAGAGTTGTGGAAATGTAGTAAATGCTTCCTATTGGGGATTCGACGAATTTTGGCTTTAACAGCTTTAAAATCCGTAGTAGTTCTAACAGCATTCGGCCATCATTCTGGTCTTCGAAAAACGAAATGTAATTGTATCTGTTGATAAAAGTACGATTAACGAAAAGGGGACTAATACCAAGCTTTTCTAATATTTGGAATATGACCGACGGCCCCGTACCTACTTTGTGTAAGGAGATCAATGTAATCATATTTTTTTCAAATATCCTATTCTATATTTTGATTTGTTACTTGATAATGAACTCGTGAAATTATGTGAAGGTGCTCCGTATCGAAAGAAGTTTTCAAAACAATATATGCAGTATGCACTTGTTCAAAATGCAAAGTAAATGAATAGTTGGTGAAAAAGGGAAAGCTTTTTATGTAACAGTATATTTTATTTAAAACTATTAAGCCAAATGTAAATGTTTTTTTTTTCAAAAGGATTTGTTTTAACATGCAATATGTTCATTATAGAATCTTTTTTAGATTTTATTATTTCAGAAATCCAAATGCAATAAATACGAGAACATGTATGTATTGTATAAAATTAAATTTTATTCAAAATAATTTTTAACATATTAAGAAAATTAAGTTATTTGAAAGGAGATCGAAAGTATTGCATACAATTCTGGGCCCTTAATGTAGACATGAAAATAGTATTAATTAAAAGGTTCAAAATGTAAAATGATCGGGAAAGCACTCGAAACGCATCAAAAACACGAAACAAGTCAGACTCAGATAACTAATAACAATGCATCTGGCATTAGGCTTGGGCAAAAAATATCGATATATCAAAATATCGATATTTTTCTGAAAAATATCGATATAAATCAGCGATATTTTTTCCCGCGATATATCTACTTTCGATATTTATTTTTAGGTATCAAAATCGATATATTTTTTAAAGCTCTGCTGTCTGCTCATGCGTCACATTATGTCTTTGACCAAACTGATTTCTTAAATTTAATTCAAACGCAAACAAAAATTACACTCTATAGTCTATGACCTGCTTGTCTATTTTGTTCATCTATGACAATGACACTGCTTGTTGCTAAATAAATCATTAATTAATTATCTTCAAGTGTCAAGGTTCCATGTACTATTGTATGAGACTTTTTTCTTCGTTTTTATATTTAATTAAATCAGTTTGCGACATAAAAGTATAATTAATCTGAAATCTAAAAGTTTTGTTGTGACACTCGTATCATTTATTTTGGTTTACCAAATAACAACGAGGTTCACTGTGGTACGCTATGTTAGAAAACAACGGAGAACCGTTTCCTTGATTAAAAGTGGTTGTGGTTTAAGGATATTTTGTTCCATAAAATACGTTGAAACGAAAAGTAACGGAATAACATTTGCGTGAACCTGTAGTCAGATTTTGACCTCAATTTATCTTTTCGCCATCTTGAACATTGATAGAATATTTAGCTTTATTCAAAAATGATGGAAACTTTACTTTTATATTGGTACGCTGTTTAAGTATTAGCTTTTCCTAAATATGTGAATCATTTTATGCTAACTTGTACATACATACATACATATACCTACTTAGCTAATTTTATTATACTAATACCCCTGTAAGACATAATACCTTTTCTATAATTTTTAATGTCACTTACAAAAGATGAGAAGAGAATGAAAAGATAATAAGAGAATATATTACGTCAATAAATGTTCATATAACGTTTATATAATACTGAAAGACATTTTTAAAAACAAAAATCTAGTAGAATGATACTAGTAACAGCTACCTAAATAATTAATTAAGTTAAATAAATAAAGATGTTGAAACTAATATTTTGCGGATATACTACGCGACTTAATTTTTGTAAAAAACTACATACATACTCCCAACGTTTCGGTTACTTTACAGCAACCGTTATCACGCTCAGACGTTGTTTCAACAAAAACCTTTCAATATCTTGTCTCTACATATTTTGGTGAAAGAAGGCAACTTATCGACCTTACCTGGAATCTCTATTAGTGGTGCTAGTGTTGCCCAAAATTGGTCTTGGTCTTGCATTTTTGCAAGAACAAGACCAAGCCTGCAAGACTCTTCGGTCTCGCAGTTAGGGTTAGCTGATCTATTGTGTTATTTTAAAACACAAAATCACCTGTTTTATTAATATTGTAAAGACTTTTAATATACTTCAAACGTGAATTTTTTTCTATAATAGTAATTGAATAATATAAAAAGAGTGCTATGAGATGCCCGAATTCAATAATATATGAGAGAACTGTTTAAATAAATAAATTGATATATAGACTGTTGCATCACAATAGGTATATTTCTGCAAATATTTATTTACATGTTAAGAGAGTTAAAAACTTTAAAATACAGTCAAGTTAATGTCATTAATTTGTTTTCTATATGTTTAAACCACCTTTCAGTACATTGAAGATTATTAAATGTAAAGGTTTATTAAGAAACAGACTGACACCCGCGGGACACAGTTGATGGCTCAGTTGGTTAGTTAGATCATCGGCACTGTTCGCTTAGATCGTGGGTTCAAACCCCAGCCGGTGTCATAATTTTTTTTGAATATATCACGAAATGTTTAGACATTTATTTCTTTGGTTGGTTTTTATGTTAATTCAAGCTAATATGTTCGTTGTTCTAATATCTAAAGCAATTTTTAACAAATAGCGATAACCTAATAGGTAATTGCAAGACTTGCGAGACTCTTACTGCAAGACCAAGACCAAGACTGGCCAAGTCTCGTCTTGGTCTTGCATTTGGGCAACACTAAGTGGTGCCTTTAAGAAGTGTTTTGTCAAAGAAAAGATACGAAGGAACTTATAGTAAAAGCGATAATTTTTATTATAGCATATAGGTTATGTTCATCAATTTTTATATAATATATTTGTACAATATCTTTTTATAAATGTTTGTTATTATTTGTTTTACCTAAATAAGTTTACAAAATTGTGATAGTTAAACATTTCGTACTAACCATTGACGCGATAAAACAAAAATTAAATACCATGATAAACTTATTTAATTAAATAAAATTATCGATACATTAATTCCTTTGTAATACAACATTACGTAAACTTCCTTTTTCAACATTTCTCAAAACTTGTGACAAACTTCACCGAAATCTTCGGAAATAAACCTCACTTATCTAACGTGTAGTTGTGAATAAAAGGAGATGGAAACTTTTGGGCCCAAAATGTAATGAGTTCAAAATTGACATAAAAATTAGGTTTTTTTTTGTATGAAATACCAAAAATCTACATAAATTCTCAATCTACAAGCGGACAAATATGCAAATAACTATTTTTATGAAGTAATCGATTAACGATTAATTAAATAAAAAATGATTATTCGATTACTTAACTACAAAATAAAAACTTCACTCCTGGTTTTAAACTTACAGTAACTGCATTAAAACTACGCCATATATGTTTACAATTCAATTAAAATAGCTTTTAATAACGTGTATTAATATAATAGTACTATTTAATATTATTTTAAAATATCCTTTTCCATTATCGATTCCATATCGATCGAAATCATTCCGTATATAGTCTATGGCAACATAAGATTGACACTTAATAATTACCATGCCGGATGCATTGTTATCTGAGTCTCACTTGTTTCGTGTTTTTCGATGCGTTTCGAGTGCTTTCCCTATCATTTTACGTTCTCAACGACCACTGCTTTGTTTTTTACGGACTCCGAACCCGCCTACGTTTTGCGACCCTTGCTTTCACATTGGACCGACGATCGTCTGCACGTTTGACTTGGAATTGTTAATTTGGATTATTTCGCCGGCTTGTGGATTGAATATTACTAAAACGATGGATCGCTGCGTGAATTGCGGGATAGCAACTAGTACCTGAAATACATTACGTTGACGATCATTAAACGATGAAATAACTGTATCTGTGATTCGGCAATGGCTTGCACCTCAGACAGTAAGTAAAAATAAACTCTCCTAAGTAATTAGCTAAAAGTTAAAGAACTTACTTAATGTAAGTATTTTAAATCTACCTTGGTAGAATTAAAATACAGCTACAAGACTTGAGCAGGTTATTTACATTTAAAGCAAATAATTTAGTATATCATTGTACTTTGTAATGAGAAATTATAAGATATCATTAAGGTAACTGAATACTAAAATGTCTGAAATATTTTATTCCATTAGTGACCGTGTTTGTCAAGCATGTTGGGATTTGGCTCAAAGCCCATAGGCCTGGGAAGACTACTAGGACATCATTACATTTGTCTCCTCTGCGGACACTCTCTAGATGCACAAGTCAGTCATGCACTTCATAAGAACACTATTCGTGAATCAAGAATTTATAATGTCATACAAGAATGGATTATTCCTTGTAATGTAAGTAAATAATAATCTCTCGTAATCTGCTCAATTATATTATTAACATAAATTCATTCATGACAGTAAAAATTATATAACTCACTACTTATTTTTATCAAAAAACTAAGATGTACATGTATAGTATATTTACAACCATTGTCACCATAAAATTGTAAAAACTGTTAGATTACAATACATATTGTGAGATTGTTAACTGTTGATATATTGTGAACTGCTAGTACTTGCATAAATATATGAATAGTGCTTGCTTATATCTGTTATAATATATTTTATTTAAATACTGTTCTAGAATTAAAATGCCAAAATAATAAAACTTCACAATTCCTAGCAAAGTATGAAGCAATAATTTTATTTGGTATCTTAATCAATTACCATTATTAATTATGTATTTCTCTTGCAGATTCAAGCGACAAGTCATATATGTCACAAATGTTGGATGGCTGCCAACAGAGCTTCTGTCCAAATGACCTCAGGCCCGTCAACATCATTGGGACAAGACAATCCTCAAATAGTTGAATCACATTAAGAAGATCTTGCTGATGTGTCTCCAAATGCAGGAGTTAGCAGCAACCAACCAGTACTTTCTATTATTTTGTCTGAGTACATGAGAGCTATTGAAACTGAAAGAAGGTGCTTCATTGAAGGATGCCAAGGAACAGAAAGATACAGAGTACCACTTACTACTTGTAAAATGTTATTTAATGAATATAAATATTACATCCCTGAAAATAACCCTCTTTGTGGTCGACATTTGGTTATTGAAGCATGGGATTTTCTGGATAAATTTGAGATCCAATTATGTTCAAACATTTACTGAGAGACATATTTATGATATGATGTCTCTAAAAGTAAATAAATAAGTAAATTAAGTATTCAATTAAAATTAGAAATTACATTAACCATGCAATTATAATTATAAATTCATATTAAGTGTTTTACAGATAAAAATTAACAATTCAATAAAATAACAAAGTCAAATCAACAATACTTGTACAATTATTAAAATTAAAAATTAAACTTAACTACATAATTAAAATTAACTATACAATTTTATTATATATCAGATGATTTGTGATACAATGATAAATAGATAGATGATTATTTAAGTTATATTTATTTTTTATCCAGCAATTTCTTACAAAATTATGTATTATGTAAGTTATTTCTTACAAATGACTATTCAGATATTCTCCTCTTAATAAAATAATTATTTTTCACATACTTTTACGTGTATTCATCTAACTCTTAAAGATAATGCAATATAAACTCACTTTTACTAAACCTCAAATAACTCCACTGTCTGATTGTCAATTTCTATAAAATTTTCAATGAAGAAACTCTTAATTTTGAACTTTTAATTAATACTATTTTCATGTCTTTACATTGTAGGCCCAGAATTGTATGTAAAACTTTCGATCTCCATTATAGGAAAATCTTTTTCGTCTTTTTCCCTTTATATTGAATGTCATTTATTCATATCAACTATACAACCTTTAATCATTTTGTTACAATCAGGTGTTGTAAACATATGTCACTAAATAAATTTTAATTTTAATAACTAAGAACTCAAATGATTTAACAGATTTGCTGAACTCTAAATACACTTCAATTTATGTTACAACAGATTTAATTTAGGTCTCTGTCTTTGTTATGGACTTAGGATTTATAAATAAAAATAATAATAATTAAGTATGAATTAATATATTATTTTAAATTAATTTGTCACTTTGAAAAGTTTTAATGTAATAACAGATTTCATTGTTGTTTTCATATTTACAAAGCATGTAAAAAAAATTATATGTACATATAAGTAATATTTAATCTTTTTCAAACGTGCCATCTTATTAGAAAATTCCGAAGTGGAAACTAAAAGGGATTCAGTGTGATATTTTCTTTATTTCGACCTGTGCTGCCATCTCTTGGCCAGGTAAAGAATTTAGTATTTATGTTTGTATACAATACGACACAATCGTATACAGGAAACTACAGTATTTCGCTAGATGTCTCTTTGGACAAAACCATTATGTTTTAATAATAAATAATTATTGTTGACTAGTTTTTGCCCGCGACTTCGTCCGCGTTAGTTTGGTCAAGCGTAATATATGTAGGTATAGCTGACCGGGCGAACTCTATTCCGTCTTAGAGGCCATAAATAATCAGGTTTCTCCTGTTTCAATCAAACAGAATGATTGACATATTAGTTAGTTGTCAAATCTAATGTCAAAAAAAACGTTTGTATGGGAAATAGAAAAGGGCTGTTTTTAGGGTTTTTCCGGCAATTTTTCCAATTTTTCTCACCTTTTAAACCTTCCCTGGACTTCCAGGAGTATTTCAAGACTAAAATTAGCCAAATCGGTTCAGCCGTTCTCGAGTTTTAGCGAGACTAAGGAACAGCAATCCATTTTTATATATATAGAAGATTATCGTTTAAAAACTTAAACCCAGTTTCACTAGTCAATGTTACATTAATAACCTCTTCTTAAGGGGTTTGATGATCTGTTAGATCTGGTGCATCGTAGCAAAACTTGTTGTATTATACGCTGTAGCTTCAAGTGGTCGTCTTATAATAAAAACGAATAATTTGGTAGCCTTTCATTTAACGTCACATTTAATAATGCGTTTTCATTTTTTCATCTTGGGACGTAAACATTTTAACAGACAATTATATTTTGGTAGTTTCGTTAGTAAATGCCTCGTTTAGATTTAACAAAGAAACTGGGCCTTAATAAGGACGTATAGTTAACTCTTAAATGTAAATTAATATCATCTATATCCGAATAACCGGCCTTTCCGGAAAAATCCAAGCATTTAAATAAGTTCTTGTAGAAATTTACGATGAATTTTTGTTTATTTAAATTAGAATGAGAAAAATTGAATTTTGAGACGCATAGTTTCAACTCTTTTAGCTATGTTTCTATTTATGACTTTCTTTGTCTTTCTGAAGTCACTGTTATTTAGAATAAAATGGTTTGGTGAAAAACGTATATTACTCTTAACCCTAATACAACTGCAATTTGAGTCTATATTCAGAACAAACTTTATGATGAAGGTGAAAATTTGAAGTGGGAGATTAAACTTAAAGCCCTCGAACATGAATTGCACTTCATATGATTATATTATATTTTTCATTTTAAGACAATAAGTGTCTGAATTTATAATTAATATAAGATGTTTTCTTCTTGTATGTTAATTCACTTTTTCACAAAATGCTAAAATTTAAGACCAATTTTGAAAAGAAAAGTAATGTTTTAAATAAAAAATTATAATTTCATACAGATCTTTAAATAAATGTCCAGTTATATATTTAATAGCGATGCCTTTATTTTTTTTTTATTAAACATGGATTCGTTTTTATTTTCTTTACAACTTTTTTATATTTTCTTTCACAAAATGCTAAGTATGATATACAGGTAAAGTAATAGCTGTTGTCGGTGGGAGCTCACAATGTGTTGGTTTATATCAAACACATTATATTACTAAACTTAAAATTGTCTTTATAAATTATTATTCAAATAATACATTCTTCATCAAAATATTCAATAACTTTATTTAAAATAAATGTAAAGATTAATATACATATAAGGTTTTACATTTTTCTATAGCGTCTAGAATTTCCAGTACTTTTTTCATGGGATTTCATTTTAAAACTCCCAGGTTAATTTAGAAAATGTTCCAAGGGTTCAAAAGGCGCGTGACTAGGAACGAAATATGTTATAAACAATTCACCTAAAATCTAATTTTTCTTTTACAAGTTCCCTTATGGATTTTTTAATGCAAAATTAACTTAGTAGGTATTTTATGGCGTTGTCCTCGTGAAAGGAAATCAAAAATTTATTTTCTTACTTACACAGTATAATTGTGTTTTTTATTTATATTACAATTAATTTATTAGTACATAGTTGTTGATACAAACTTTATTTTTTGACATTAGATTTGACAACTAACTAATATGTCAATCATTCTGTCGCACTTCAAAACACGGAGATTTATGGCTTTAATAGGTATTAACTCCAAAAATGTAAATAAAAAACGTAACAGATATTTCTTGATTAAAGGGCGATACAAAAAGCTTTTTTGGAAAAACAACATATCTAAAGGAACAACGACTTAAACCTTCAATACCAGCAGGGGCCACCGAACTATCGGGAGTTATCTCTTCCTTGCCCACTCATCTATCCAATCACAAAATATATAAAGCAATATCAACAACAAAAAAAGTCATTTCTGTCCGACGCATAATGCGTAAAGTAAAAGGAGAAAATAACACCTTCACACTGCAACCTACTCAGAGCGTAGTAATAACTTTTGCGTCTGCTACGTCACTGCCGGACTATGTTCACATTAAGATGTGGCGCCTGCCTGTCTCCACATATGTCCCATCTATAAAACAGTGTTTTAAATGTTTACGCTATGATCATCTAGCTAAATTTTGTAAAAATTCACCGCGATGCTCCATATGCACAGAGTGGCATTCTTTCAAAGAATGAAAGGTTAACATTGAAAAAGCAAAGTGCATTAATTGTAATGGCAATCACATTGCCATCTCTAGCCAGTGCCCTATAAGGCAAAAGAAAATCGCAAACAGTAAACCCAAGTCATATGCTGACACGTTAAAAATTCATTAAATTTTCCCTCCCTTAATAAAAAATTAAATACCCAAGAAGTAATCCAAACAATACTATCAAATTCTGAAGCAATGGCTCTATTAATAGAATCTATAGTAAAAGTTATAACTTTAAATAAAACTCAAAATATAAGTATTAGTTCACAATTTATTAGCTCAGCTATTAAAGAAACCATCCAGGATAAAAAAAGCAAAACGTCACATTCAACCACCAAATCTTAAATATTGTACAGTGGAACGCTCAAAATCTGTTAAGTAACAGACTTGAGTTTCAAAATTTTTTATACTAAAATAATATACTTACATGTGGCTCTTATTTCAGAAACTTGGCTCAAGCCTAGCATTCAATTTAATTGACGTGGTTATACCATTATTAGCAATGACTGCAGTAATGATCATAATGGCTTAGCAATATTAATTAAAAAAGGTATACATTTCTCTAAACTAGATACTTTTAATGATGATTCGTTACAAAATGTAGTAATTGTTTGTATTAATAGTAATTGATTCTAACGCCCATCATACTTTTTCCGGTTGCAGTCGCATAGATTCTCGAGGCAGAGCTATTATGGAATCCATGTATGACCATGACTTAATACTTTTAAATAATGGTCAACCAACAACTAATGGCTCTCATATTTGGAAGCCAAACAGTCTAGATTTAACTTTGGTGTCTTCTTCTTTATTTCTTTCTTGTGACTGGCAAGTTCATCAGGACTCTTTAGGCAGTTATCATCTGCCAACTATCACAAAATTTACTCTCGTAAGAGATCAACTTGAGCCCTCTATTTCCTTGAACAACATTCCTTTTCACAGCAATCTGAAATTAGTAAATTGGGATAGGTATGAATAAATTGTTAATAAAATGTTAATGAACTTTAAAGTTGACAATAGTGATCTCC